AGGGTGTCCTCCACCTCTCGCACAGTGACTGCTGGATATGGGCACCATGATTCCCATGACCCGAAAAGGAAGAAGTGGGGAAAGATAATGGATGGATGGATGGACAGAAGTTAATTCAAAAAGTTAGAGATATCAGAATTAGATATATTTTTACAATCAAGTCAAACATTTTGATATGTACAGTACAAGTAGGTTTCTTTCGGCTGCTCCCTTCTTCAGGGGTCACCACAGCGAGAAAACTCACATGAAAGACTTGGCAATTTGTTTTACACCGGATGTGGCGTATGAAAAAAAAAAACTTTGATTGCAAAAACAAGCTAAACAATGAGGCTGACACCTTGACTACTTTTAAAACTAGGATGAAATCTTTCCTTTTTGATAAATCCTATAGTCAGGGTCAGCTTGGGTTTCCTGAGCTATCCCTTAGTTATGCTGCTATAGGGTTAGACTGCTGGAGGACAAATTGACCACATTTCCTCACTCTGCTGCTGTCTTTTCTTGCTCTACTCTACTGGTACTCTCTAATTATTTCTATCTTAACGACAGATTCAATGAAAATGCAATCAATGGCAGATTATAATCTGATTTTTTTAATAATCCCTCGCTTTCATGCAAGGATGTGAATTATTTAAGCAGACTGACTGTGGTCATATTCATGAAGGTACATATTGTATTTAAACAAATATAAGTGCCTTTACTCACAAACTCCAACTTCTTATGTTGCAGCTTTTGTTGTTGTTTTGTAATAAAGGTTGAATTGTGTCTGTCGAGTGGGATTTAGACCCATCATGTAGTGCTGGATGCTGCTGAGAGCTTCTTCACGAAACAAAAGCTTTTAATTGAATCAACCTGAACCACCATTTGCAATAACCTCTAATCCAGCTGTCTGAGAAGGTAGGAAAGATAAATATGGATCCATATCAGAAACTTTCAAATATCCTAGTTAACTCCTGGGAAAATTGGCATCTTAAGTGACAATAACACCACAGCTTTTCGGTTGTGTTCTTTTACAGAAGGTGTTATGAGTTTCAAAATGTCTCGCTTGTCAATTTTAAATGTGTACATCCTCAGATACAAATTCAACACCTACTACTCAAATTTTGGCGTAATTGAGAGAAAGCAAACAGAACTCGTATGTATGGGTCTAAAAACAAGGAGTGATACTGTTTTTGTTTTTTTACGCTTTCCTTTCACTGAACTGCTGTTGTGAAATTAGGCTGTATGATAGATCTGTAATTTTAATTTCATGGCATTTTTTTCTCCAAATGATTAATCCTAAGGCAATCACACAACCATATTTACTGGCTTTTTTTTAGTATTTTATCCCCACCTACAGTATTTGGTGTACCTGTTGTCGACTTTAAAAAAATGTTTTACCTCATTGGGTTTGGTCTTTTTAATTCTTTTGAAACTTTGATGATATGATGAATTCATACCAACCTCTTTGCAATTATCTCTTTTTGTAGCAGCATGCAAACCTCGTATATAATGTGATGTAATTCTGTTTCAAACATTGACTTGTTTAGAAACTGTCATTTCGCTGAATTGCTTTCAGACTTTTGGAAAGAAGTCTGACAACCGGTTTTATTGCTGTGAGATTTGTTTGAGCAGGTTGAGACAGCACTATATCAACTAAACAGTTCAAGAAGTTCTCTAGGAGTCACTTATTCACATTGTTTTCTCGTCCTTTGCAACATTTTAACTAAAGCTAATATATTTATTGTCATGGCTTTCAAAGGTTGCTTGTTCAGGTCTCATTTAATGTGTGACAGTTTTTATATTCACGGGGACAAAAACTGAACACACCACTGATTCTGAAATGTTTGAGGATAATAACCCAAATAATGGAAGATGGCAGATGTCTCTCAATGTTTTTTGTTTGTGGTTAGCAAGCAAAACTAATATTGCAATTTTAGGGATGCACAAAACAACTAGAAACAAATCTATTATTATATTTGTTATTTTTATTATTTAAGAGCGTGTAAGTTTAGAGTATAGATTACTAGGTCTATTTTAATCTTGCAGAAAAGAGCCTTAAGAATTATAACGAAAACTCATTACTATCATCCTACTAGTGTATTATTTTGTAAAATGAAGTTGCTGGGGTTTTATGATTTGGTGGAATATAATATTCTTTTGTTAATGTATAAAGCACGTCATTATACACTGCCCTCAAATATTCAAGTGCTTTTTGTAAAAAGAAAAAGTTGTTATAATCTAAAGGGCACTGATATTTTTGTTAAACCTAAATATAGAACTAGTTTAAAGGGTCGGTCAACGTTGATACATGGATTAGGACTATGGAATAGTTTGGAAACTGATGTTAAAACAGCTCAGTCAATGTCTGTATTCAAGAAAAAAATTAAGAGTATAATGTTGCAAAGATATATGTAATTTGGTTAATATAAAATGTTTTTAAAATCATTATATTACTATAAGTTGATTATTTGTTTCATGGTTGACTAATGCATGAATTGCATTGATTGTTTAGTTGTTGAAAAATTGTTTTCATGAATGACTATTGCTTTAATTGATTGTTTGTATTGATTTTTTGTCTAAGAAGGGGCAGTTATTATAAGATTTTTTCTTCTTCTGCTTCCTTTCATTTTAAATTTTCTTTTCTGTCTTTTTTTATCCATATGGATTGTAAATTGTTTTTTCCTGTGTTTTAATTTGAAATGAATAAAATAAATGAAATGAAATGAAATGAAATGAAAAGTATAGAGAGGTATGTTATTGCTAAAATCAAGGATTTTATTAAAGGAACACTAAACCAGTGTTTTAAAAAGAAAACACGAGGGAGACAATCACATTGGTTCCTGTTTTTTGGATTCGGCTGGTTGCTGGTTTTATCTACAATCAAGGAAGTCGTTGGCAGCAAATTTTTGACCCGATCACGCTACTTGCTTTTATGATGGCTTGGTTCATGCCTCGAGAACCCAGACTCAAATGCTTTGGGCAGAATGGATCAGATCTCAGGGATTTTACTCAGTCACGTTCCATCGGTGTGGCCATGTAATTTGGACATTTCGGAACTGAGTGGACCAACACAGACTTAAGGTAGATGTCATTAAGTTCTGCCTGATCCCAAAACAACTGCGTGTTTATCTGAATTTGGCTCCCTTGGCTGGCCTTGATGATCATCTTATCTGAATTCGCCTGGAGAACATGTAATCTGACGCTCACCACCCCCTCCCTGAGGAATTTCCAGTTGATAACCAGATGAACCAGCTGAATAAACTTGTGCCATCATTTCAGGATGCTTGAATTCTCATAGTTGTTATTCTTGGCCATTCCTCGACATACCTCGAGAATTTTTATGGATCTCACTGGAGGACATTGACTGATTATTCCATCTTTATCAGAACTCTTACAGTGCCCTGGAGAGCATCTATGATCATGCTCACTGATCTCACCTCCCCCCTCTGCAGAATGTCTACATCACTATGTGCTTGTTTGTGCGACATGTTTTTTAATATCAGAGTTTTTTCTTCTCAGGCAGGAAAAAAAATGTCTGATAGGAATTTTTTCGCCTCCAATTCCTACACGTGTCCAGTTTACCACTTTTATTGTCTGTCCAAACAGGTCTCACTTGTAAATGAGTCTTTGAGGCTCAGTGTGACTTATTTGTTTAAATAAAGGTTGAATGAATGAAAATGTATCATGTAATAGGTAAAAGTGGCTATTAATGACACAATCGGCTTGCCATAGCTGGCCACGATCCTCTGCCTGGAGCAACCGAATCAGCTTCATTTTGCTGTGCCGCCCCAACAAAATGCAGCTGATTTGACTGCCAAAGTGCATTTATTAAGCAAAAGTTAGACTGAGACACACCTTTACCATAATTTCGAGCAAACAAATAAATGTTTTTAGGTGTTTATCTTGTTAAATTTCGAAGAAATGCGCAGAGGCTCATCCCTCTGCGTGCCCGCTTCCGTGAATCGTGTTTTGAAATACAGCTGATTAGACCATTAATAATAATAATAATAATAATAATAATTTCATCACAATGTCAGCACTGTATGTTTCCATACAATGGCGAAATTAGTCTCTGCATTTAACCCATCCACCACCAGGTGGTGCAGTGGGCAGCTATTGAAAGCGCCCGGGAGGCATTTTGGGGATGAGGTGTGCTGCCCAAAGACACCACGTGATGTGCAGTGACTGGGGATCGAACCTGGGACTTTTGGGTCCCAAGCCGGCTGCCCTGCCTCTACACCATCTCCGGCCCCCATAAAAGAACATTTATTAAAGGTAGACTGAGATACACATTTACTATAATTGCAAGCAAACAAATATTGTTTTTAAGTTTTAGTCTTGTTAAATTCTAGTTAAAGTCCTCCTGTGCACCCTCCCGCAGCTGCCATTTGGCGATTTTTGGCACAACACTGGCCCACATTTCCGGGTTCGGCCCACATTTCCGGTTTGTCAACGGTGACGCAAAACAAATGCGACATGTTAGCGGTGACGCATAATAGATGCAACGTATATGGCAAAGCGACATATTCATGGGTTTTTCCACTTTATTAGTCATATTTGAACTGATGCGATGGAAAATACGGTACTGCCTTTGAGCAGACTTGGAGACGAAGCGATTTGTAAACATCTCGATGCTTGTTTTTTTCAAAGCTGCTCCATCTTGCAAGATTAAACCTGGAATGAGAAAATATCTTCTCCTTTCCTGTGTGGCTTATTTATTTAATGAGCTGATGATAGGATAATGAAATTTTCCAACATCCAGCTATACCAAGACAACAGAACAACCATCATCAATAGTAAAAAAGCAAGTCATTAAAACCTCTTAAAGGTTGTTTCTGTGCTGTCATGTTTCAAAACCTAATGAGGGAGTGTATGGTGCTGCAGTTGGTTAAGCCTGTTGCCTTGCAGATATCAAACCACTCAAGTTTGTGTATTTTATGCCTTTCTGTTTAACCATAAGCTCCCTGAGTTGTCAGTAGAAAATGAGGTCAGTGTAACTGAGTTTTGGGAACGCCACTTACTTAGACACCAGGGAGAAGGCATCGGCACACACGGCAGGACATGGCACCAGCTTGATCATCACATGCTCCGACACAGCCTGGAAATGCGCCCGTGTCACCTTCTCTAACACCGAGGCCAACGTGGCCACATCGCCAGCTTTTGTGCTCGGGTCACCACCTGCTGTGTCCAAGATGTTTCCTCCGTGCACCACGAGGAGCAGCACGTGAGTCTTACATTTCCTCTACAAAAGGAATAGGAAAAATTTGATAATTTAAAGCAGAGACTCAAATGGATGGAAATAAAAGAGGAAGCATTTAGTGACAGCAGTGGGGCTGCGCAGGAAGTTCCATTACCAAACGCTTACCTCTGCATCATCCAGCCCTTCGATGCTGCTCTGAGGAGCACACCGTGGACCTCCCAGCTGGTACAGACCCTCTGCATTAGATGAGTAAAGGACGGGAGCAGGAGGTGGCAGGAAAGAAGGAGAAAAAAGGTGGAAACAGTGTCACTGCAGTAATTACTTCCCCCCAAACACACCAACACAGAAGCATAAATGCTGATCAGAAAATAGTCATTATTACTAATGTCTCTACATCTCTCTTCATCCCAGTTTCAAATTGTGCAGTGGCTCTGGAATGGAATAACCATAAGATTGAGTCAGTGCAGGCAGTAAACAGCAGGAGCATGATGGTTTTCTCTGCTACAGTGTCTACATTCATCATATCTAAACAGATTATGTCTTGTCTAATTCTGTGAAAAACAAATTTTGTAAAAGAACAAACTTGGTCGTTTTTAATGACAAATAAAAAAAAGAGTCTGCTTCACTCTGTGTAATGAGGTTCCTCATAGAGACCGGTACAAATTCATTAGCCAATCCAGAAGCCTCTGCATGCAGCGTCATGTAAATCCTGAGCCCTCTCCGCCTCTCGTTCTGTTTCCTGCCTGCAGGCTCAGGGCACTCCTCTGTGCTCTGCTCACTGACTCGTTGTTTATTTGGCCCCCTTGTCTGGGACGGACTGTCATGGGAGGCTCTCACAGACTCGTTTCGCCGCCGGCTCCCTTCTTCCATTCCCATCTCACAGTCTGCCTGCTTGTCTAGAAACAGAAAAAACTCACACAAGGGACTCTGAGCACGGCACTATTTTTGGTCACAATGTAACAGGAAATCGATGAAGGGAAGTTTTCTTCCTTTTTTTCTGAAACACTGAAGGGAGGCAGAGCAGGAAACGGTATGGAATGTTTTCTGAGCAAACACTTCTGCAATTTATAATATATTATTAAAGATTATGCAATATTTGTTTTAAGAACATTGTGCTTTACTGGACAGTTTGCTTGTTCCTGATTTCATCAACAAATATTTCTAGACAGTGGCATAAATCAAAGGATGACAACATTTCATGGGGAATTCAGACTGAAAGTATCTCAAATTCAGGTCCCACAATTTTAGCTACTAAAATAAAATAAAATAAAAAAACAGTCATTGAATTTACCACTAATATGTTTCTGCCTCAGTGAATCAACAATCTATTTTCTTACTTCTAGCCCTTCTAAAGAATTTACTTTTTTTTTCAGTTCAGAGTTTTTCCAACATAAATTAACAGTTTTGACTATTGCAAAAAAAAATGGTCTTTAACATAATATTTTGTTAATATTGTATAGATAGAATCGTATAGTCTAAAAGGTAAGGATTCTAACAATAAAGTAGTGAAAAGTTAGAAACTGTGGGTCAAGTTCAATTTGTGTGGATTGTGTTGCACATTTTGTTTTTAAAAGCAGCTAAAATGTCATTTTATGTTTGAAACATGAGTTATTTGTGGTCATATTGTGATCATATCAAGGGTGTATTTTTTATGATTTGAAGGAAAAGGCAAAAGTCAGAGAACCCCTGACTTGCCCATGAAAGTTATTAAAAAAAACAATCTGGAAACTTGGTAAAACCGTTCTGGAGCACCTCCTTGAAGCAGCTCACTTTCATTTCTGTGGCTGGTTGATGTAATTTACTTGTTCACAATGAGGTGCGTGAATAAACCATTAGACAACTCAAGACAAAGGTTAAAAACATTGTGAGAAACAGGACGCACCTCTGGCCATCAGCTGTTTGACCCACATCCATCTGGACAGATGTTCAGAGCAATTATGTCCCACACAAACAGAAACAGAGTTTTCCCTGGAGCAATGGTCTCCAGAACCCCTTACCAAACCAAAAACTCTCAGATTACAAAAAACTTACTTTCACATATAACACATAACTTGATCATTGCATGTACAACTGGGTCATTCACCCAACTGGTTGAAATGACAGTAACTTTTCTTTTTGTTTCTTCATAGGGGGACAATGGGTTAGTATGTCATGGCACTTGTTTTTAGTGCTGCTGCACATGAGAATGTGCCACCAGAAGCTCTTTACACTAAAGTATAATCACAATAAACTTTATCTTATGTTTGATCTATTAAAAAAAAAGACAATCTATGGCAACGTTGAACAACTTTGTCCCATATTCTCTTCAATTAATCTAATAAATCACGTAACTGTAATGTATACATTTGACATTTTATGCCACAAATATGATGTTAATTCGATAGCTAGTTTCCTTTAGCATGTGTAAAGCAGGGCTGTCTGAAACAACGATCCAACATAAAGCCTGGAAATTAGAATGATTAATATGCATTTATTAGTTTAATATATTTATTTATTTATTGACATGATGCTACAAGATCTTTTTGGATTGCCTTCTGTGATGGATCCACGGATCAGTCCATTGATGGATCAGGTCCATCCAGCCATCTTAATTAACTGCTAAATATTTTTGTTATTAAATGTAGCATTTTGACATATCCAATGATCGCAGCCCTAGACCAGCTTCACAGAAACATACTAAAGTTCTGCAATAACTCCACTTCTAAATCAACTCAATTGGCTCCCAGTTCATTATCGACATAATCTGGTCCTCTGGATATTAAAAAAAAAAATGTCCTAAAACATTGCAGTGGCTGTCAGTCTGCAACAAACAGCTGCGTTCAGCGGGTTGTAGGAAAGATTGACAGAGGAAAAAGTGGAGCTTTAGTCACTTTCTCATTTGTGAAAGCGGCTCACATGCTGGGCTCCTCCTGAGTTCAACGTCAAGTGAGACATTTGTCTGGTATTGGAGAAAACTGACTAAATTGTAATTCTATTGGCACAGCACAGTGGTATAAACTTCCTCCCTGTGGTTCGAACCACGTCAGTTTTCTCCCCTGCATAATCCGTCTGCATACCTGTTTTCATTTTTTGTGTTCCTACTTTCTCCTCTCCTGAATCCTGCCAATCGATTTGCCCCTTATAAAGCTGATCTCTCCCTGCAATCATTTTCTCCCCAAAAAAGTGGCCCAACCTAGAAAGCATTCTGCAGAAAGCTGACGGTGCCATAGCTCAGCAGCACTGTGCCCACTTCCATTGACTTAAAGGCTGATGCACTGATTCACTTGGTGCATCTGTTGTCAGACAGGAGTCTGACACATGTCATAATGAAGCTTCAAGTGTGAGGAAGAGAAAATTGACCCCAGAAAGAGGATTGTGAAGATGAAAGGGCTCTACAGAGAAGTCTGCAAGAGCTGAAAGCAGAAGGATGGGCTACTGATTCATCCTGTGAATCATTCTGTTAGAGTAGCTATTATGAATAAAAAAAGTTTATTTTTTTTTCATCTATTGCATACAGAGTTTCTGTTTATTTCTGAGTGAATCTTTTGTTGCTCTGAGGTCTCGACCCTTTCCACCATACTTCCACATTTATCACATTCAAATGAGCAGATGGGGAGGAAGACAAGAGCAGCAGGATGGGAGCAACAAGCAAAAAGCTGCATTCATCAAAAGCAAGATTGGCTTCCAGGCTGCAGATTTATATCACCCCAGGGACGAAAGAAAATGGAAAAATAACCTCAGAGTTTCCTGGCTGCTGGTGGGTGAATGAACTCATTAGAGAAGAGAAACAGAAAAGAAACTGTCCAGATGACCTGACTGAAAATTGTTGGATTGTATACCTGGATTACTGAGCATGGACTTTTTTGAACTCATTAGAGAGTTGATGGCACATTATCTGTGTCGCTGGGTGGACAAGCAGAGCAACGCATTGTCTTCTGCTGGAAAAGGATTTTTGTCTCAAAATCATCAGCTCATAGAAAGCAGCAAGTTTAAAGGATTTCTCTGTGGGTATATTTACAAAACTTAAAGCAAATTGCTCTTTCATTTTGGCAAAAAAACAAACAGATGTTTCTTTCTGGTGAATCAAGAACATTGTTTTGAAGCGGCTCTTAAAGAGACGGTTCATATTTTTGGAGTTGGGTTTCCGTGGAAAGATTATAAACAAATGCTATCTTACCTGTTGCACTTTGAACAACCTTTTACAGTTCTTCCAACAGAATTATTAAGACATTTGTGCCAGAAGTGCATCAGGCTGAATCAGAAATGCTACAGCTAGATGCTGCTGCTTCCAAATGACCGTAGAATTACTTTAATTTATTTTTATAAATGCTTGAAAATAAAAATAAAAAAATTGTAATTGGGGTTATAAAACATTTTTATCCAAACAGCATCATCAAGTGTAATGAGGGCAAACAGAAATTATCTCTGGCACTTAAAACGCATAAAGAGAAGTCACATGATCAATGTAACGTCACATGACTGCTGAGATGTAGTCCATGCAGGTTGTCAGAGGAGATAATGTCTTAAGGCTCCCTTCACATGGACAAAGCAGTGGGAAACTCAGTTTTTCAGATGTTGATTTGAGGGGAAAAAATCCTTGTTTACACGACCGCATTCGGTGTTTACATGTAACCAGAGGGAACACCCCCCGCCCCCCGAGTCCACTGTAGTTGCCATGCCAGGTCATTAGTTGGCGCTGTGAACTTTATACATTCACCTAATGCGCATGCGTGCTGCCTGGGACTGCTGTCGGTAAGGACTTTCCTTTTTGTAACAAAACTTAAAACGGATTTCGGATACAAGTTGACGGATTTGACACCAAGCTGGACCGCTTCATGTAACAGCTCCACACCGGTCGCTGAGCGAACCAGCACTGACGAGAATAATACTGGGCTTCCCACTCCCGTGGTAATCAGTAGCCATCGAGCAATGCTACAGCAGGTAAATCCATGTTCTTGATCATGTTTGCTTGTGTTGTTTGGTTACACAACAACCAACTGAGTTTTTATTTTTCCTGAGAGGAGAAGCTATCCTCCCGCCAGAGGGATGGGTTCTGAAAGACAGCATACACCTCGGCAGTGCAGGAGGACGTTGAAATAAAAGATGTTGGGGCAAGTATTCACTTATAATATATATTTTTCAAGCAAAGAAGTGACGGCCTGCACAAGCCAGATAAACAACAAATATGTGTCGTGTAAACGGCCCCTTAGTAATCTAAAGTGATTGAAGGATTCAAGATTCAAGGTTCTTTATTGTC